CATATTTATCACCGAAAATTGTTTTTTAAATAAATAGGTCAATTGTGAAGGTCCATGTCAAGAGATCAGACATTATAGCATATAAATAATATACCTTATAAGAGGAAATGTACATGTTAAATATTCCCATGTGAGTAAATGTCTTCTCAATCAAAGCTTATAAGGAAAAATTTACATTAGGTCACACTTAAAGGACAAGGTCACGGGATAAAAAATCAAATTAAATTGTATAAAGGTTTTGTCACTGGTTATACCAATAATTGATATGTAAGCCCTCTGTCTTCTTATTCAAAATTATAAGCAAGGTTTCGGTTTTTAATAAGCAGGTCAAACATCAATTGCAAGGTGGGGACATCAAATAACATAGTATATTAAGAAAATTCTTGACGCAGATTATACACATTTTAATATATTTGCATGTCCACTGCTCTCTCCCACTATGAACATGTATCCATCAACTGCGTGCAAAGGACTATAGACGCAATTGCTTCAGCTATAAGTGCAAGTGCTGTAACTCACTCGTGTAGAACATTCTCTTCTACACTAACAAATCTTGTTGAGAAGTATATATATGAAATATTTCGTAAAAGGACTAAATATAAGTGTTTAATAATATTTTAGGAAAAAAAGAATTCAGAACAATTTAAAATTTCTGTTTGATAACTTTAAAAATTCAATTTTGGTCAATGTATTTAATTGTAATATAACACTTTTGAAAAATTTATTAGAACTCAATATTTATATTTTTTCGTATCACGCATACTTGTACAAAGAACGATAAGTCTTCACACTTGGGAAATAACATTCATTAAAAGAAAAAAAAAATTACTTGTAGATCTATATCTATTTCAAGAAAAAATAAATAGAAAAAGTAAACCCCAAAAAAATCACAGAAAAGCATACTGGAGTAAAAATCATTATAAAAGCATTCTCATTTTTATCAGTGTTAAATTATTGATTTTTGTCAGAGGATTTTAATAACGTTGATTGATGACGTTACGACTGCATCAAAACAAAAATTAAGAGAATGTGGTGACGGCGCTGCTTGTATCCAGATAACTGTGTTTGAGGGGAAAATACTTTATAAATTGTGATTTATTAGAGAAAAGGAGTATTGATCAGGTGTACTGATTTTAAAGCTGTATGGTTTTCTTTACTGAAGACAGAAGAAGCTGCGTCCTTATGTAAGTCAAGATTTCCTCTGATATTCTTGACAACATCAAAGAATGCAAATATAAGTAATAAACAACGATTATTTAGTGAACATGGCATAATGAATAGCAATAGCTCTGCTGGCATATTTTCCATGATGCGCTAGCGCGCATCATGGAATATGCCAGCAGAGCAATTGCTATTCATAACGCCATGTTCACTAAATAACGTTGTTTATTTCTTAAATGAAAGTTCTATCTCTTATCTTCCAAAAGCTAAGTATTAGGTCAATCTTCAATGTCAAGGTCTCGGGGTAAAAAATTATAGTGTATTTAGAAAGACCCTGTCACATGAATAAAATTAATGCTCTGTCTCTTCTCATTTAAAATTATGGCAAACTCAATGTAATATTTATATTTTAAAAAGTAATATAAACTTTGAGGTCAAGGTCCTTAATTGATTTATGTATTTTTAGTATACTTTACATCGGGAAAACTAACAGGTAGTGGAGAACGCCCCCTCCCTCCTGTCTAACATGACGTGTTGTAGTTTAAAACAATTCAAAAGCTTAGACAGAAAGAATTATTTTCAGGACATTCGTCCCTCCGCTGATCTTGCTTGATCAAACCCAAGACGCTCTAGGACGCAAAACAAATAAAAAGCCTGTAGCCCTCGAGTGGCCTTATGTTTTTTTTTTCAAAACCTATATAAATTTTGTTCATTTAAAGTGTTTAATTATGTTCTTCACGTATAAAGTAAGTATTCCTATGAGGTGTATGTCTCTTGAATTAGTTTTAATGAAAATATGTTTTTCAAATATCCCTAGAAATCCTTTTTTATGTGATCGATGAATGATTTTTTTATTTTGAAAACAACTTGAGTTGTATTGCAATCACTTCGAATAAAAAGCACGAATATATTTACATGTCAACTTCCGTTATTGATTAATTTGTTTACACATGTATCTTAAACACATTTGTAAAATGTTTTATTCTTAAAAAGCTTTTTAGCGAATTTTACTTCTTCCAACCCCGAAACTGAAATTTTTCAACACAGCTATAAGTATGTAACTATCATGCACAATTTATTGAGTTTGTTAAAAAGTGAACAAGTACGTTCAACATCGGGATTTTCATAGAGTATGCGATTTTTCTCTTATTCCTTATTACCTTTACATGTCCATCAATAATCCTTAAAAAATTCTGTTTTCTAGAATATTTTATTGTTTAAAAAATCCAAAACCATAGTAGAATTGTCCTTGTTTCGTTATTTATAGTTTCGTAAAACTAATAATACTTACGCCCAATATAGGGAGTATCTCTTAAACTTTTTAATTCCATTCATTGTAGGTAAATATCATAAATATTCAGAAGTGGACAGAAGTTTTCTTTACAGTTTACTGTTGTGTGACAAGTACACTGCTACTATAAAGGGAGAAGCGTTCCAGTCAATGTTGATAAAGATCCTAGAACGGTATTACCAAAAGTCTTCTCCTTGTGATGATATTGATATTTCGCCTCTTCAAAATGAAATTAAAGAAACACAGAATGGTGAAATAACATTTATATTAGACGACATCCGACATGACGTCATGTACGCCTTTGTTACGGAGTGTCTGGTGGAGGACAGTGATCTGGAGTTTTTCCTCAAAACGGCGTCACGTGACGTGATTTCAGAATACTGCCGGTCCTGGTATTATAAGAGGAGTGAGGGAGAGAGATGTCTGTATGTACCTGACAGACCAAAGAATATGTACAACCTCTTTATAGACAAACTACAGCTGGACTTCATCACACACTGTACCGTGTCTGACAAGTGGATTCATAACACTATCAGTAAACGTTGTAAGTTCGGTTGATGTATTCGTTATTGATAATTTCAGTTAAATATAAAGTTTTGCATTAAGTCACAACCTATGATGACAACAGCGCTCAGAGTAAATGTTGTATAGGGGGAAAATAACTCGCGGTGTTAATATTCGCTATATTCATGGTGAAAACAAATCCGTGAATTCAAGAAACATTGAATAAATTTTCAATAATCCCCATGTTTCATTTGGAAAATTGAGAATAGACTACGATAGATTTATATAGCATTATAGCCATTTATAGGTGTTCGTGCAGTCCATGGTTATTTCAGTAATTGCGAGTAGTACTGTAATTCAATTAATTTTAATATCACACACATGGGCCATGGGTTTTGATTACTCGTGCGTAACTAATGTTACCATGTGTATTTGTTACCTGCATTGTACACGCCTCCTGACCGCCATCATTACGACTAGAACGTTTGTTCTAATCCCTGATGGTTGCTCGAGCAACATACTATTACTGTGTCAATGTTAATAATATGAGTTGACCAATCACACAGCGGCGGCTGAATTGTTAACGCTAGATGCATCTGTCGAAAAAAATTGTGACGTAATGCAAAACTTCACACATATATTAATAAACAAGATGGATAGAAGAATCAACAAGCATTAATCTGAGAGTTTTGCCTAAGCAATACATGTTCCCTACCGAGTTCCCTTTTTTCTTTAGCATGTCATTTTATAATATGCAAAAGGTATGTCCAAGGTAAAACTGTTTGATTTAGAGGTTGTGAATGCTTTTAACATAATAAAATAATCACATTATGACGAAAATTCAACTCATTTTTCCAAAATCTTTTTCTCTGTTCATAATTATGTCGACCAACGCGCACGAACCCGGTCTTAAAAAGATTTTGAACAATAAAAAATGCCATAATTTTGTAAAAAATCAACCAAGTGGCACGACATTAGATCTTGATCCGTAACTCATCAAGATACATTTAAACACAAAAATTTAGTTCAGTATCTGCAAGCATTTACAAAAAAATGCGAAAAACCTAGAGGGACAGACTGACAGACAGACAGAGACAGACAGACGGACGGACGGACGGACGCAGAGGAAACCTAAAGTCCCCTCCGGTTTCACCGGTATGGGACTAATAAACATGAAGCTTCATAGTTAATCGCGTACAAATACGAAGTAAGCGATTATTAACTCTTATACCAGATAAGATGTATAATTTCAAAGTAAACTACAGTATCTTGACCAGTTTAACGGATACATGTATGTAAAGTGGGGAAGGTATCTAAATTCCTCGCGCAGTGCGTTATTAATTAGTGATGACGAGTTTTCAACACCTCCTTAGAACTTGTTGAGAGAGGTTAAGATCTTAAACGGATACGGGTACATGCACTTGTACGTAAACTTTGTCGTACACGCACACGATTTTGTAAGTTGTCTTTTGTCAAGATTGTAGCACTCATAGAAAACACATCTGAACTGTATAGTGGTTTATTTGAAACTCAACAAATATGTAACATAACGTTATAGCAACGTCTATGACGTCATCGTACTATGACGTAATAGTTCGGTAAATGTCATTAATATAATTGCATTGAAAGGTAAATAGAAAGGTATTACTGTCTTTAATTCATATCATTCTCCGGCCCACCAAATTGTCCCTATTTCGCAACATTCTCCGGCCCACCAAAGTACGAATTGATTAAGTCCTTGGACCGAGAAATAAAAGGAAATTTGGATGAAAGATGAATCAAAATCCTCGAAAAGTTATTTGCAATGTCTCACGAAATGTAACGCTCTTCCACTAGGTTTAAGTTTGGATTTCCTCTATGTCTTTGAATTTGGTACAATCACGTATATGAACAAAGTCTCACAAGAAATCGTCTTTCTCCTCAATCTAATGTCCGAAGTACTCCTTAATGAATGCCTTCTCCATGGCTTGAATTTGCCCCTTATGCTGATCAATCTGATGATCCATAATCTTCATCCTCCTCTTCATATCTGTTATCTCATCCCTCATGACTCGATGAGGTTCTTGCTGTATGTCCTCTCGACATCTCGAAGTGTTTTGAATGTGTTCTCCTGTTGCCTGATATTGGTGTCATCCCCAGAAATCCTCTTGAAGTCACCAATCTGCATACCATGAACTTTGTTATAGTCTGCATAATTCTGAGTTAGATTACTGGCCTCTTTGGTGAAGCGGATTCGTTCCTTTTCCTTTTGATTCATGATGTTTATCTTTTCCTGGTTCTCCTCTCTGTACCTCTGTTCTAGGTTATTCTTATGAACGTTATCTAGTTTCTTGGATACCTCTAACTTCCTCTTCAAACTAGTAATTTGATCTCTTGGAGTTTCTCTCTGCTGTAGTAAATCTGAATGAATATTTCCTCCCACTTGCTGAAGTTTCCTACCAGGTGTCTCTCTTGATGATTTGAGTCGTTGTATTTGTCTGAGAGTATTAACTTCAACTTCTTTTTTCTTCAACTCTTCAGCTTGATTCTCAGTTGTCATTTGCTTTGTAGCAATTGACTGTGCATGAAATTTGGCCTGAAGCTTTGCAAACTGGGTTTGTAAAATGATTACATCCTTCATGGTTTTCTCAGTCAAAATCCTCTGTTCTGATATCTGCTGTTTCAATGTAGCAATGACACTTTTATAGTTCTTGATTTCATCCTGTAGATTCTTGATTTCCCTAGTCTTTGCATCCAGTTCAGCCTTTGCTTGTGATCCATGGGTATTCCTGGTATTGGTTTTGACTGCATTATGAGCAGCAATACCTGCTCCAGCTTCTAATATTTCGAGTTCCCTGTAAAGACTGTTTCTCAAATCACCTAATAACCAATCAGTAGAGCCATTTTCACGTGCCGAATTATTCCGTATTTCAGTAGGTAATTTGTTCAAAATCACAGGTACTAGAAGAGAACCGTATGTATCTTGAGCTTGTCCGTACGATTCCAAACCTCTGACGTATGTCTCCACTTGGTCATGAAAATGACGCAGGCTTGTGAGATTGTTCTTGGGAGTGGGTAGGTCCAAGAGCGCTTGCATGTAAGACTGAGTTATCTTATGTTTTTGTCCAAACCTTTCATGTAGAAGCTCAATTGCTCTGTTGTAGTTTGCATGTGTGAGTGCAAATCCTGAAATGGTGTTCGATGCCTCGTCTGCTACTAAAGACTTTAAATAATTAAACTTTTGAACTTCTGTCAACGTGTTGTTGCTATGAATAGCCGAATCGAATGAATCCCAGAATGACTGCCACTCCAACACATTTCCCTCAAAAATGGGTAAGTTTAATTTCGGAAGTTTGTGGAAGTTACCACTGTTTGGATTTGAATAAACGCTTGTAAGGGACTGATGAGCTCTTGAATTTTCACTGAAATTTTGTCTTGATTGACTATTCTCTTCAATTTGTGAATTTTCATTCTGGTTTGAATAAATGTTGGCTGATGGATTCAAATTTGAACGATGAACTCTCAGATGTTTCTTAAATTTTCTCATTTTAGAATTAAGATTGAAATTGTACTCATCTGTCTCCAGTATTTCTCTCTCTGCTGTTTCTGTTAGAATTTTTTCATCCAGATCTCTAAGAATTTCCTGTTTGTCCGTTCCGTTAATGTCTCCAAAATTGCTTCAATTTCCTCTGCATCTTTATTTTCTTCTTCCAGTCTTTTTAGAAGTCTGGTTACAGCACTTCTCTGTCCTGCTCTTACTGCCTTCAGTTTAGAAGTCATCTCTCCTCTTTCGTCACGGCACCAATGTCAAGATTGTAGCACTCACAGAAGACACATCTGAACCGTATAGTGGTTTATTTGAAACTCAACAAGTATATAACATAACGTTATAGCAACGTCTATGACGTCATCGTACTATGACGTCATAGTTCGGTAAATATCATTAATATAATTGCATTGAAAGGTAAATAGAAAAGTGCTACTGTCTATAATTCATAACATCTTTTGAGATTCTTATGACGTGTATCAGTACGTGTACACTGGGATCGCTGTCTTTGTTTTTACTACTTAAAGGATTTCTGACTTCATTTTGATTTTAGTTAGTAAGCAAAACATTATGAAAAATAAGAACTTATGTAATCAAACATCCTAAATAATAAATGACAACCACAATTGCACACAGAATTTGGGTTAATTTTCAGTATGAAAACTACAAGTTTTCAATTTCGTGAAGATGCCATTACACAAGTTCTAAGAACGCGTATTTATTTAGTCATCACTAAAACTGATGACCTAATACATACGGGATATAGGTTACTTTCCTACTAAACGTGCCAGTACACGTATACACGTTTGAAATCTCAACTTCTCAAATGGCATCTACATGTAAGAGCAAACCTGTAGCTAAAATGATAAAAAAAAACCAATTTATTTGTGGAATTGTTGTTTATTATTTATAGTGTTAAGTTACCTGAGCACTTTTTAATCATGTTTTGTTAAATACCTATAATCAAACAGACCCAAAAAACCTCTAGAAAGTTTTTACAGAGACACTGATTGCGATGTACACGAGCTTGTTACACGTCATAAAAATATCAACAAACATATTACAAAAACGTGTTCGTGTACTCGAAAATATATTCACAATTACAAGATTAATAGGGAGGTTTAGTTACAAGTGACGTAACAACGTGTACCCGAAACTTTGACGTGCACGTTATATTTGACGTCAATGTCAAAAACATGATTTACTTATACGTACACGTGTACGTATGCAAATTTCGTGATTGGAGACTACAGTAACTTTATCGTGTTGATTGAACGCATTGTATTTATTATGTTCCCCAAACGAAGTTGGGGAACATATTGTTTTTACTCTGTTTCTTATTATTATTATTTTTCTTCTCGGGAAAATTTTGTCCGCGAATGATCTTGTAAAGTACACATCCGATTAAGGGGAAACCTTTTTAGGGTAAGTAGGCATGTTATGTAGATTTGCGGAACAAAGGTCATTTTGCGCGCACGTGCTTGCAAGAGCGCGCACGTGCAACACGTGAAATGACCAATATACTTGAAATTGCCGTAACTTTTACATTTTTCGATGTAATGCTTTGATATTTAGAATATATAGACATATTATAAATGTAGATAAGATGACATTGTCAACATGCCATTTTGTGTGCACGTGCTTGCAAGAGCGCGCACGAGCAACACGTGAAATGACCGATTTAATTGAAATATGCGTAAATTTTTAACTTTTTTATGAAATGCTTTGAAACTCATAATATAAGGATACAGTAGTAGCATGGACAATATGACATGGTCAAAATAGCAAGATCTCACGCGCATGCACGTGCGCTTCGCTCTGATTGGCTGAAACTAAAGTCTCAATATCTTTCTTGTTTTCTGATGAAATTCTTTGAAATTTTGAACATAGCCATGCATTAGGATATACTACAACATGATATATAACAATTTTCATGAAAACACGTGCTTGCACGTGCGCTGCAATCTGATTGGCTGAAAATTTAAATAGCTATAACTCCCTTGGTTTTCAACCAAACAGGATGGGATTTGGAACATAGATAGATATAATAGACTTCTACAAGAAGGTATGGTCACCATGCACATCCATACACTTGCGTGTACGTTCGCCGCAATCTGATTGGCTGAAACTTTAAATAGCTATAACTCGATTAGTTTTCAACCAAACAGATTGAGATTTGGAACATAGATAGAGGTAATAGACTTCTACAAGAAGTTATGTCACCATGCTCATGTATGCACGTGCGTGCACGTGAAGTGAGTAAAATCAAAAATACAATTGAATGAGCGTATTTTTTAATACTTTTCAGTTTTGGATTAAATACTTTAATATTAAGTAAATTAAAGTATATAAATTGTGTAGACAAGATGATATGGTCATTACGCACATGCATTTACATGCGAACGCGTGCAATGCTAAAATTTGAATGAACTTGATACCCTTCTGGGTAAACGTTGTTAAAGTATCAAATGCCTAAAGTTTGTCTTATTTAATGAAGCTTACAGGGAATATGGCACCAAAAGGGAGATGGGGAGCGTTTGGGGAACATCTGTAACGGTCCCCGTTACAATTAGCACTAGTTATTTATTATTTTTAATTCAATATATCAAATATTGTTGAATTGGCATGTATACTTACTCTAGTTATAAAAAAAGACTCTGAAAAATTATTAATGTATTGTCATCTCACTGTAGTGAAGTGCTGTAGATAGTTTGTTTCCTGGTAATTCTACATGACTTTAAACATGACATAACTTTTAATTTTGCATCACTATAAAAATAGAAGCAATGATAACAATATTTAATTGACGATAAAAAGACCACGTTTTCCACTTTGTGTAGGAGGGGGAGGGGGGTCCAACAGAAAAACTTTTGAAAACGCTGAAATATGAGAGCTCAATCATTATGACGTCTAGAAAGGAGGCAATGGATAAAATTTAATACATCAATACATTGCCAAAACCAAAATCAGACAACCCCCCTTTTTTAATACGCATCTGCTCTAGATCTTACATGTGCTAGTACAAAAGGAAACAATAAATAATTAATGAAATACAATCTTCAAAAGCACTTGACTTCACACATACATGTATATACTACCTATAACTTATTAGGCTAACATCAAAAAATCTTGCACACATGAACTATGTTATTAGTCCCTTACCGGTGAAACCACAGATGACTATAGGTTTCTTCTGCGTCTATCCGTCCGTCCGTCTGTCTAGCTGGCCGTCCGTCCGTGTGTCTGTCCCCGTCTATCTGTCAGTCTGTGCTATTGGTTTTCCACTCTTTTTTTCTGAATGCTTGCAGATATTGAGCTGAATTTTTGGATATGATTGTATCTTGATGACTTACATATAGAGTTTAAATTTTGTTCCACTTCATTTTTTGACAGAATTGTGGCGTTTTTATTTTTTTCATAATGGTTGAAGATCTGGTTCCTGCTGCGATAAATTCCGATTGTAAATATAACATGTATAAAGCGAGAAGAAGACGCTGAAAAAATTAGTTGAACTCTCGTCTTTATGTGAATTATTTTATTATGTTAAAGGCATTCACAACCTTAAAATCAGGCAGTTTTATATTGGACATAACTTTTGCATATTATAAAGTGACATCCCAAAGAAAAAAAAGGGAACAGGGAAGTGGACAAGTATTGCTAATGCAATACAATCAGAATGCTAATTTTACTTGTCTCAAAGCAGATGTTTCCGATACACAAAATAGTCCCATTGAGAGTCGATGCTAAACAGATACTTCTACATTTAACATCCCAATTTTTGGAAATGTAAATTGACCAACAGTTTTGCTTGAAAATAAAATGAGTCATTGGAATTTTAATAATTATTTGCGTTATGCCTGAAGTCGCTTGACATTGTACTGGTCAATGTATCAGTCCATCTTTTTGATAAAAGAACTGTTAGTTTTAAACAAAAAAGAATGTCTCTGAACATATGCTTCTTAGACTGATTTTTCAAATGATGAGAAAAAAGGCTAATTGAAGGACCGAATTTCAGTACTTCAATACCTTACTGTTTAATTTTTTATCTCATCATTTTCATGAATAAAATCAATAGTTACCTATGCATATAAAAAAGATCGGATGCGTAGTGTTTCATTTACTTAAGCGTTTCATTGAAAATATTTACATTTGCAAATATCTTTCTTAGATGAACTTATTGAAGAGAAAATAATTATGTCCAATACTGTGTGAATGTTATTTGGGGGTCAGAGGCCATAGCAAGAACGATTCACAGAGCTAGGTGATATTTTGACATATTTCTGTTACGGTTCAATTTGTTTTGGAATATTTCTAAGTTAATTAAAGATGAAAGATAAAATGTTAACAATGTGGATATTTTTCAATCCCAAGATGTACAATAACTTTTGGTGAGAATAAGGTTTTGAATACTATAATTAGTCTCAATCCCCACTGACCTTTTTAACCCAAAAGTCCTTTGGAGTCATGTAAACTAAAACAGACGATACCATTGCTTTTGACCTCAAATGTTGTCAGAACTTATGAAATAGTTAAATTATTCAGCAGCGATCATTGTTCTTTCACTATAAACAGATATTTCCTGAACTGGACTGCTTAACATGAATGTAAACATACAAATGTTGGAGAGAGGTAAACTAACTTTGACCAAAAAAACTTGAACTAGGTCATTGCACCTCAAAACATAGCAACATGGAATCCCGTTTGTGTTATAAATGCATTTTACTCGAGATTTATTTGTCTCAAATGTTATTATAAGTAATAAACAACAATGTTCACTGGAAATTTAACGTTTAGTTGGTACATGATAGAATCTACTGAGAAGCCCTTCGGGCGTCACAGGATTTGATCACGTGACCAACTAAAAGTTCATTTCCCAGGAAATTGTTTAACGTTGTTTATTTCTTAAATATAGTGTACGTTACTTGGTCCACAAGTTTTCAATACGAAGTATCTCTACTTACTGACATTTGGATCTTTGACTTTGAATGGAATGATAAAAT